CAAACAAACAAACAAACAATTAATCAGTGACCCTATTAATCAATTAAATTTAATGTACAAGTAAAAAATAAAGGTGGTGTTGGGTACTCAACCAGTTGCCTTCCCTCTAGTTGGCAGTTAAAAGATTAGTAATTGTGGCAAAAAAACCCTAGTAGCTTTTCCATATTAAAGACAGGGCAAACAAATTTGGTGGTAACTATTTGATTACTTGGATAGTTTGAATAATTGAAAAGAGTAATCCTCAGTTTGATTATTTTTGTGATAGTTGATTTAATCGTAATTTCAATTAAATTATTCTCAGAAAACTTTAAAACAACAATAATTGGAAACACTAATTTTGATTAGTTGATTACCTTTAAGCAAAGATTATTGCTTTAATTCTAAAGATAGTAAAATGAGAGGGCACAAGTTAAAGTTTTGGAAAAGACAGACTAGGCTCCATTTAATACAGTTTTTCTAACAGGGTCATTGACTTATAAGTTTTCATCAGCAGAACTGTAAGCCAGTTGAAGAGGGCAATTGATGATTTCCTGAAAAGTGAAGGGTGGGTTTAAATTTCAGATTTTTCCAAAAGGTTATATTAAGAAAACATGTTGCTAAAAAGGATTAAAAATGCTTATTTTTCAAAGATACATAAATGTTTGCAAAAGGGTCAGTAAGTTTTACTGAGAAATTTTGGCCATAATTCTCATTTGTACAATCATTTCAGTCCGTTTTTTCACAGTTTGGGGCAAAAAGATCATCTGCCACTTCAGTTGTGTAATTTATTCATGAAGGCACAATTAACAAATGATGATTGGATAACACTTGTTCACACTAGTAGCCTTTCCCCACTTTTAGTTCCCACTGAACAATGTATGGTTTCATATGAACATAAGCTTTTCCATCTAGTTTTGTGATTGTATACTGAAATTAACAAGAATATGGTCAGTTGCATGTTGTTAAAAACAACTCTAAGTCTCTGCTGCTGAACTCCACTTGTTACTAGGTGATAGTGCAAAAAATCCACATGTATATGCATACAGTGCTGGACTAACTGGTTGGCTCCACAATACATACACACATACTTGTTCACTAGTAGCTTTCATCACTCATCATATCACAAATGATTTCAAAACCTGGATATTTTTCATTTTTCACTAAATGATGTCCTTGAAGGACCAAATTATCTATTGATGTAAGCTATGTTAAAATCACTTCCATAATACTGAATTATAATTTGCATAGTTTTAAATGGGTTTTCTTGCATGTCTGTTGAATTCATATAAGATAAATAAAATAGTAGGCCTGTTAATGATTTACTGTGGGAGATGTTTATTGCAATTTATTATTATTGTTCATATTGTATTTATGTAAAGAATATTGAATGATCTATGTTTTAACTGTATTTGGGAGTAAAATGGTGCTAATATACTGTAATTTTGCCAGTGATCTACTGTTTGTAGACATGTGTGGAATGTTTTTGGGGGAGTGATATGTTATTTTTCTGTAACTCGAATATTAAAAAGCCCATTTATACACTGTATATGATCACATCTGTTCTTTCAAAATAGTGATTATTAACTTTTTTTTTTTTGGTTAACTCAAGTTCTTGAAATTGGATATAATGTCTGAACAACAATATAAAAACTACTGAAATTTCCCAAAATGTTTCATTTTATTATCCATCTTGTAATTGTTTTTTTCACAACCCCTATATTATGAACCACTCCTCTCATAGAGCACATCCAAGGAAGTGTGGTTTGTTTATATGTAAGCTTTTTATGTAATTTACTTTGAAGGTCCATGTACATATGTACTATGAATGGGAAAGACAATTATGTATTAAAGATATCTCATTTTAGTTTCTGATACAATAGAAGAATGAATGAGCTGGAAAGTCTAAGACAAGAAGCAGAAACACTAAAGAATACAATTCACGTAAGTCCAAAGTTTTCAATTTGTATACTTATGACATTATTTAAAATTAATTTTTATTTTCATCAATTTAACATCTTTAAAAAATGATTTTTATAATACCAGGTAAACAAAGAAGGAAAAATATTAATATGTGAAAGGAGAATGGGAATGTAGTTTAGCTAGTTTCAGAACATTGTTTTGTGTCAGCATCATTTCTTTATGCTTCTTGCTTGAAATGGATGGTTAATATGTTTACATGACTTGGACATGAAAAGGTACTTAGGAAACTTAGGAAAGAAAGGAGAATTCCAGCTGAAGAATATAATGCATGTGATATACTGTAATTAATTTTAAAATAATTACAGTTACAGTAGCAATTACTTCAATTGTGGTTGCTCTTTAACATTGCTGGAAAGTAAATGCATATATATGCTTTAAAACCCCTGTAATGATTTTAATGAAATCATTTTGTCTGATACATGTATTTATACATCTTATAAAAAATATTTTTTCAGTACTTTTGAGAACTATTACATAGAAATATTTTGTTAACATAGACTGTGTCAAGCAGTTATCAGATTGAAATAAGTATATCTTTTTCTGATACTGTATCTTACTTCTCAGTAATAGCTTTTCTTGTTCAGTGCTGCCCTCTATATGAATTTTATTTTTTCACATGCCACTAGCCTTGGAATTCCCACATACCCCACGATCAATATGGTTCACTGCATCTTTGCATGTAAATTATCATACAACAACCCTTCACCAACAGTAGTGTGACACACCATCCTGATGCACATTACAACCTCTATGTAATTCCACCAAACCATCACATATTGTTAGGCAGTCGCCACGTTCAGATGTACTACCCCACGATCAACGTGGTTTACTGCATCTTTACATGTAAATTATCATGTGAAAACCCTCCAGTAGTAGTAGTGCGACACACTCTCCTGATGCACATTACTCCCTTTATGTAATTCCACATAACCATCACTTATTGTTAGGCATTCGCCATGTTCAGATGTACTGTTTTTATGAATTTCTGCAATACTTTCTTTTTCGAAGTTGTACTATCAGGTTTCTACAATTCTTTTTTACTGTAGTTTATTATAGTTGGGAACCCTCATCCTACCATCGGCTGTATGTTGGTTCCTAGCAAGTGGTTTTGGATTGGAGCAGTACCAACTAACATAAGTTCTCACACATTTTCAGTTCTGATTTATCATTCTGCCACAGTCATGAGGTTTTGTCTCATGTGCTCCTCTGTGTGGTGGGTCCTGGTAGTTGATGTTGCATGGGCCTGACTTGATTCGCCTCCTGACCATGGATTCATGGTGAGTTGGCCAATCATCCATGCACTTAAGCTTCTGTGCGGTCCTATCCAGAGGATGATGTTGTGCAGGGCACATGTAGTCCCTCCTGGTGCTCCACCTCCATGATGTGCAGAGTGGATCGAGTCTGATTGGTTTTGGATTTGAAGTGAATTGCCTCACTGGTATACGTCCCTTCCCACTACCTGGTTTTGGACTGGAGTTGACCTACCGAGTATGGTCTGTCATGCCCTAGCCATTCTACACCAAGGGTACATTCATTTTTTCCCCTCATTTATTGAATGTGCTCCTCACAGTTTCTGCCCATTTATATAACACTTACTACCACTCTGGGCGACAAGTATACCTGGTACTGAAGTGGTGCGGTCTCCCACATGTGTTCCTCAGCCAACGAGGTTTCACACTTCATGGGTTTTCTTCTGATGCATTTGAAGGAAGCTTATCTGTATCCTTCTCACCAGTCCCTCCACCTTTTCAATGTGGTATTCTAGCTATTATGTGAGAGGAGGTAAGATACTGTATCAGAAGTTATTATTTTTCCTACACTGAAAATATATTTCTCATAGGTATTTACCTCTTCTCACACTTCCTACTTTTCATTCCCACTATTGGTACTTAATTTCTGCCTAATCTTGAAGTGATGGTTAGGTGGAATTGAATAGAGGGAATAACGTGTGTCAGGAGGATGTGTCGCATTCCTGTTGGTGGAGAGTTGTCAAATGATAATTTACATGCAAAGATGCAGTGAACGACTGATCGTGGGGTAGGTGGGAATTTCAAGGCTAGTGGCATGCAAAAACAAATCTTGCATGTAGAGGGCAGCACTGAGCGAGAAAAGCTATTATGTGAAAGGAGGCAAGTACCTATTGGAAATATATTTTCAGTGTAGAAAAATAATAACTTTAACAAGTTACCTCATTACAACAGTTTTTAGAGATTAATGTTGTATAATTAAAGTCTAACTCTTCAATCATGGATTAGCCAGTTTACACAAGCTTGAAAATCCTGTTGCTTTACATATTAAAACCTTATTTTTATTAAATGTATGTTAATAAAATGTGGTATACTTTTAGTAAACATTACAAATCTTTTATACACAAAAGGTCAGAATTTTTAATAATGTTTCTATAGTAAAAATTTGCCAATGAATTTTCAAAGTCTTTACTTAGTCAATCTGAGTGGAAAGTCATTATCATGCTAAGAACAAAAATACTTCTTTTCATCTTACAATTTCACATTTCATTTGCTTTACCTCTAGAACCTCCTAAATGAATATCACAAGTTTTTCAAGTAAAATATTCAAATTAATCTTTATTTTCACTACCCTAACACTTATGTCGCTAAATCATGACATGAAATTTTGAAAATTATGAAATATAATGGACAATACCTTTTTCTTCTTTGAATAAATTATTTGTCTCCATATCTTCAATTTCATTATCTTCAGAAGTTCAACTGTAACTTTTCAGATACATGTTTTCACATATATTATTTTAATTTTATACTTTTACTGCCTGAAAAGTGAGACATTATGTAAACAGATTTCCATACATTTAAGTACATGCTCCAACTTTGAACTCATGCACATAGTTACCTGATCCCAATTTTTTCTCTAAGTTTTTGATGGAACATTTTATTTACCTTTCAAATACATATTTTAAAATAAATGTATTACATAAATCACAAAATAGCATATCCAAAGACAACTATAATTTAACAGGTTTTCTAACTAAGTTTTTTTAAGGCAAAAATATGTTAAATGTTATGAGCATCAACTTTCACACCAACATGTAACTAAATAAGTTTTCTATTAGTATAATGGCTGTTGGTGCCAATTTCAAACTGATTACTGAAAGCTTGAAGTTGAAAATATGTTCTATCTACTAGTTATAAACATGTATGTCAAATAAGAGCACTGGGCTTTCGAAAACTGCCTTGAAAGTTAAGTACAAATAAATGGTGCTTCTGTTGTGAGTTGGGAAAATTTATTGACTTTTCATGACAGGGAGAAGTTGTGACATTGAAACTGTATATTGGATCTTGGAATTTTGTACAGATTGTTTCTGGGCTAAGTCAGACAGTGTATTTACTATAATAGTGAAGCTATACAAATGAAAAGAAGAGAATTCAGAATGCAAATGCATCATGTGACATAGAGAAATGAAGATTGAGAACTTGTTTGATATTTGCTTTTGAAATTAAGACATTAAAACTAGGATAACATAAAATTTGCACTATAAACTACACTTTGATGTTAATTTTATTGACATGAATTGATAATACAGTTGTTTAACTAATGTGAATGTAACTGTGAAACTATAAACGTCATGACGTGCAGAAGACCCAGGCTAGTGGTTATTTTGATGAAATTAAGACATTAAAACTAGGATAACATAAAATTTGCACTATAAACTACACTTTGATGTTAATTTTATTGACATGAATTGATAATACAGTTGTTTAACTAATGTGAATGTAACTGTGAAACTATAAACGTCATGATGTGCAGAAGACCCAGGCTAGTGGTTATTTTGATTCGTATAGGCATATAACTTTTAACTAATTTGTGTAAAAGCTGTTAGTAAACTTTATGTGCAGGTTGGGTTTTTGTGTTAAATTAGATATTTTTTTCTTGTTGTTGTTTTCTTACTGCAGGATGCAAGGAAAGCTGTATGTGATACCACATTGGCTCAGGCCACTGCATCTATGGAACCAGTTGGTAGAATACAAATGCGAACAAGACGAACCCTTCGGGGTCATCTGGCTAAAATATATGCCATGCACTGGGGATCAGATTCACGGTGAGATTTTATTGTATCATATTTATGAAGGCTACTTAGTTAGTCTTTGTAATAAAAAAAAAAGCTGTTTGAAAACACAATTCTTGCACTAACAGTGTTAGTAAGAAGATAGTTCTGTTGCTAACACTAGCCGAAATTAGAACATGCAGAAGAGTAAGGTGATAAAAACACATTCATTCCCTCAAGGTTACTTTTCCTTTGGTACAACATACCAAAACATCCAAGTTAAAGTGATTTAACCCTCATATCCATTTTCCTAAATTTAATTCAAGCCATAGGCTGAATGTCTATGTATACACATTTGCAGAATGTGATCAAAATATATGCACTAAAAATGGATACAGTTATGAAGATATTAACTCTCACTATGGGCTTGGTTAGTTCAACCTAAATATTGACCTTTAGAGTTTTCATACTGTAACTTCTAACATATTTTGTGTATCTTCATGGAATTTCACAATCTTTAAGTAAGTATTAAGAGTTATTTGTAGACAAAAAATCAGTTTTTAATTAAGTATTTTCACTAAAGATTTCTCCATGTTGACTGCTTTAAGTGAAAAATGGTTTTCATGTTAATGTTAAAAATAATTTTCTTCATGTGAAAATTGTCAAATTTCATTTGTGTAATCTCTAAAACCTCCTATAAATTTCAAAAGTTTTATATAGTAAAATTTTATATTTTAACTGTCATCTTATCTGCTATAACTGTGTAACAAGTTGGTCAATTTGACTGACCCCATAACCACCATAACAAAATGAAAAATAAATCTAAATACCTTTTTATTTACTAGAATGATTTCAAATTGTACCATAAAACTACATCTGATAATATTGAAATTTTATTGTTTTATTGCTATTTGAACTGTGTTTAACTAATATTTTTGCCCACACAGTTGTAAACCACTTGGCAAACCTTTTGAATTATATAATGCATAGACTACTCACTGCTCATGAGTATACCTTGTGAAAAGTGTTTATTGTTATTATTCTTTATTTCACCTAATCTAATCTTATCAAACCTAAAAAGTTTCTAATTTTTACATTTTAGTTACTTTTAAAATGATAAATAAAGAATACACATGAAAAAGAGGAAATATGGTACTTACCTGGGTCTTGTTTTATTTTGCTGTCCACTGTTGATAAAACTTAACCCTACTTTTTATACTACTGGTACTACTGCACCAAATTATTTTTTATCTAATTAACCCTATGCCACCTGGATTTGATATCAAAGAGAAGGTAATGCTGCTCTTGTCACATTTCATTACAAAAATAAAACCAGTGGGTGAAACTGTTTGAAATTTGACAAAAACATTCCCAAAAGTATGTAGTTTAAGAAAAAATATAATTTTTTACTTTTTTTTTTACTAAAACAAAGTAACTTTACAAAAAAGTAGTTTAATAAAATTTTGAATGTAATTCACTAAAACCTCAAGGCATGTGCAGTAAAGGATGCCTGTGCAGAAAGAGTTAAGTGTAAAATGTAATTTTAATAAGTTACTGCAACAAGTTGTTGGTTAATAAAATGTGGAAATCTCATCAGGCCACTAAAGTTAAATGAACCTGCTACTTACAATATCCAATCATATTTTCTGGTTCCATAGGTATGATTTTAATTGTAGATTTGTTTATTAGGGATATAGTATAAAATTTAGTTAAACACTAAACAATTTTAAGTGCTTGAAGATTTTATAATGATACTGTAGTGCTTAAGAATAATAATTTTTTAATCATCTGTCCTTCTTTTCAGATACCTTGTTTCTGCCTCTCAAGATGGAAAATTAATTATATGGGATGCTTTCACAACAAATAAGGTAATTGTTTCTTAAAAACTTTAAACAGATAACCCATCTTAATCCTTTTTTGACTAGTGAGCTACTTCTTTGTGTCAAATACACACCTGCATATCAGATTTAAAAAGTGAAGTAAAACTAATATATTTAACTCCATTTTAACACTTTTTTTATTTTTATTCAAAAATGTAAAATGTTTTATAATTGATATTTTGTTATTTTGTAACATTTGTTTAGTGTAATTTCCAAAGAAAATGCAAGTAATTCTTTACAATTTGCATATCTGCACAGCTCCAAGGAGTATCTCTTGTAAACAATGCACTTATCTAGCTTATATGATTTTTCTGCCCAGCCCAATTCATCTGCTTTTATTTGCATTCTCATCCATTGATAATATAATTAACCATGTCTTGTTTCTTGTATGACACTTCATTCTGCCTGAAGATTTATTTTTACAGGCTTCTATTAACATAACAGGAGTTAAGGACAACAAGGTACCTGTTGGTCCATTTAGGCCATCTCATCCACTAAACTAAACTTTTTTGAATTAAAAAAAACGTTTTAAAGCCAGCCCTTATCATTCAAATATTTATCAGGCTTTTCCATTTTAAACTCCCTTAAATTTATTACATCCATCACACCTGAACACAACCCATTCTAAAGGCCAATCAACCTGTTGAAAAAATAAAATTAACTTAGCTGAAGATCACTCTTACTCTGCCAAAATTTATATTTGTGCCTCTTAGTTCTACCATTCTCATCATTAAGTATAAAAAAAAAAAAAAGTATGATGCATTAACACTATCAGTTTCTTTGAGAGCCTTAAATACCTCAATTTTTTTTTTTCAAGAGAAAATCATTTCAAAGATCTCAGCCTGTCCTTGTATTACAACCTTTCTGTCTTGGGTATCATCCTAGTCACTCTCCTCTGAACCCTTTTAAACAATTCAGTGTCCTTCCTAATGTAAGGAACCCAAGACTGAACAGAGTACTCCAAATGTGATCTAAGCAGATACTTATACAATGAAATTATAACCTTTTTAGACTTGTATTCCTTATTTTTGTTCACAGAATCTAAAATCCTATTTGCCCTACCACAGCATCAGTATACTGCTTGGATGGCTTAAGAGAATGATCAATCAGAACATTAAGATCCTTTTCTTCTGTAACACTGTTAAGGTTATTTCCATAGAAATTATATTTATAATTCAAATTATGATAACCTGTGTGCATTATCTTGCATTTATTTTAACTAAAAGCCATCTGCCATTTACTTGCCTTACTCACCAGGTAATCTAAATCCTTTTGTAAAGCATTGTCATCTTTCTTACAGCTAGCAACACCCAAGTCCTTAATATCACCAGAAAATTTAAGTAATTTATTGACTATTCCTTCATCTATGTTGTTGATGTAAATCAAAAATAGTGAAGATCCTAACATTGAGACCTGATGTACTACACTTGTTATTAAACCATTTTGACTGAACTGCATTTATAACAACCCTTTGCTTTTGTCCTCTCAACCACTTTTTGATCCAATGACATACACACTCACACCCACAGAGATAATTTCTTTATCAAGCCTTTTATGTGTCCTTGTCAAATGTTGTTAAATGACTTTGCAAACATCTTTCGTCAGATTTTTAAAAGTTTTCCCACCCCTGATTTAAGACTTAAAGGCATATAATTACCTGGACAACTTTCAATCACCTCCCCCGAAAAAAAAGGAGTAACATTACCCAATTTCTTCTTCTTGTAACTGCCAACTGTTCAAGAACTTTAAAAAAATAGTAGCAAGTGGCTTACATATTCAATTCTTAACCTCCTTTAAAATTTTTAGTGAGATATTATCTGGTCCAAGAACCTTATCATTCCTAAAAAACTTTCCATTGTCTTCTTAACCTTATAAATTATGTGATCATCTTGACTGATCTTGAACCACCTAGCAAATGTTCAGGATGAGGAACATTGTTTAAATCTTTATTATAAAAATTTTTTGAAAAATTAAAATTTAATAACCCAGCCATTTCATAATCATCAGAAATGAGCCTTTCTTTATCATCCCTCAAAGGCCGTACTCCCATCCCAACATTTTGTTTCCCCTTAATTTATTTAAAGAAATCCTTATTATAAATGTTTACAGTTTTAGCTAACTTTTTTTTTATACCTTTTTGATTTCCTAATGTGCAGCATGACCAATCCTCATGATCTTCTATAATCCTCTTAAGTCTTCAATCATAGCAGTCAATTTATACTTCTTGAACCACAGATTATGAACTCTTTATTAAAGAAAGCCCCTCTATTTTCATTGATCACCCAACACTAAATAATATCAACTCCTCCCCGTTGTCATTAATTTAATTGATTTCGGATTCTCAGTTTTTTTATTTGATATTTATTATTATTTTTAAGATGCAGTGTTTATACTTGTATTTAGGCCTTTCTCTATAATAATTTCTCGACAGTGTTATTTATTAAACGTGTGTGCTGCACGTTTTATCATACATTCCTTTATATTATTACTGTTTAAATCTGTTCTTTATAAACTTCTGATTGAATACAAAAATTTGCTCAATGTTAATATTGTTTTTTGAAGTTCAAAAATTTAGAATTTTTTTTTTCATATATTAATGCCGATGATGGAATTTAAGGAAATTCCAAATCATCCCTATTAAAGATGTTTTTCTTATTACCGTGTTTTTAATATATATTATAAAACTTCATTTTCCACCTGATGAATCAGTTGCAAATTTTTTGAATTTATAATACTTTTCTTTAATTATAACCCTTATATCCTTTGTGAGCCAACTTGTTTTTTATAGTTGCAGGCATTCTTTTTGTTCTATAAGGACCATGTCTGCCTTGAATATTTAAAAATTTATTGAAAATGAATTTTTTCACATTTGATCAAAATCTCCAATTTATTCAGTTACCCAGTTCACAACATATAATTCTTCTTGTTGCATTCCTTCAAAATTTGCCTTTTCGAGGTTTTCATCCAAAATTTCATTATTCATGATCTCCTTTTAGAAAAACAAAATTTAACTCAGCAGTGAGCACTTGTATCAAGCTGTTCTTCATTCTGTATCCATTAAACCATTTCTGTATTAGAATTTAACAATACATCCAAAATAACATTTTTCTTAGTAGGTTCCTTGACCTACTGGTGAAGAAAACCCTCCTGAACAGTATTAAAAAACCTGTTTCCTTCATGATTTGACTTTAACATTTCTCAGTCTATAAGCTGGAAATTATAATCTTTCATGATTTTAGTCTCATTAACAGTTGAATTCTTTATCTTACTCTAGAGTGTCTTCTTAATTTCATCAGTTTCATCCAGTGATCTGTAACAGATTCTAATTAAAAGCCTTCTCCCATTATAACCACTAACAGAAACCCAAATAGATTCAACCTCATTGCTTTTAACTGTAATACCCTCAACTTTAACAGGATGTAACTCACACTTTAAATATAAAGCCACTTTTTCCCCTTGTTTTAGTACTCTACCCCTATTAAATAACCTTATATTTCATCAAAATTGTTTACATTTAACCAGGTTTTAGTTATTCCCATTACATGAAAATCCTCATTCCCACTAGTGCTCTAGTCATCTATTTTATTTCTTGTACTTGAGCATTACAATTGTAATAATTTAGCCTACCCTTAAAACTACTCTTGTGTTTTGTCCCTAAAGAACTCATTTTCTCTACATGTTATTTTTCTGCACTTAATTTATCCTGACTCTCACCACTATTTAGTCTTCATTTAAAGCTACCCTTACAGCTGAGTTTAATAGCCTTTGCAAACAAGCCAGCCCCTACCCTATTTAAATGTAAACCATCTCTTCCAAAAAGCTTCTTTTTCCCATCAAACTGATTTCACAAGTCTAACCAGCTAACCTGCTTGTCCTTACATATTGACCTAAGCTCGACATTCAGCATTAGCGACCTACTTATAATCTTATAACCACAATTAACTCTCTGACTACTGGCTCAGTTAATTCAGCTGAGTTCATGATCCTAAATTAACCTTTAGAGTTTCCATACTATAACTTGTAATATGTTTTATTTTCACAAGATTTTGCTAATTAAGTATTTTTACTAAATATTTGTCTGTGAATATATGGAGTCAGAGTATTGACTATTCAGAGTGCAAAGTGATTTTCATGTAGAATTAAAAATACTTTTCTTCATATGAAGATTGTCAGATTTAATTTGTGTAATCTCTAAAATCTCCTAAATAAATTTCAAAGGTTTTTTTCAATAAAACTTTATATTTTATCTGTTATTTTCTCTGCCCTAACCCTATAAAGAGTTGGTCATAACCTCCATAAAAAAATTAAATATATATCTAAATTACCCCCCCCTTTTTTTTTTCTAGAATGACTTTAAATTGTAACAGGAAACTATATTTGTTTATCCTAAATAGCTTAAAGCTCATAACTTTATACATCAATTTCTACTTAATTTTTATTTTATTATTGTCCTTTGAACTGTGTCTTACTAATAATCCTGCCACACAAGTTGTAAATCATTCAGCAAACGTGTAGTTCGTGTTACCCTATCAAATTAAATAATGCATGAGCTACTTGCAAGTGTACTTCAGGAACAATTTTTTCTTCTTTTTTTTTTTAGCGTACCTCATCTAACCTTATCTAACCTAATAAGTTTTTAATATTTACCAATGTTTTACTGATAATTGGTTCGACATTCAGAATCGGTAAAATTTATCTAATTTCCTAATCTCGGAAAACTGATTACTGAGAAATTAAAAATAACACCACTTTATTCACATCAACAATCTTCTGATTTGTAAGTATACTTACAATCATGACCCTGTACTTTTCCTTTTTCTTTCAGCATGAAACATTATTCACCATAGAATAAAATGTCATCAGTTAAAACAATCTCTGTCTGTTTCTCATTTATAAGTTGATACACTGAATGAAAGAAAGGTTAAAAACAATGTTCTGCACATTACGAAGCACACCCATTTGTTCGCAGACCATACATTAGCAAAGTGTTGATAACAGCACCCTATGCACAGAGCTAATACACACTGTGCTTGCCAGAGAAATAACAGAATGAAATAAGGTTTGTAGGAATTTTGGTGTTTGCATTATGAGCCTTAATAGTCTTTTCCCCTGAAGTTCTTGGGATGGTATGCCATGTGGTTCTCCATTAGTACCACACTGTTTATTAGATCATTGTTTGGAGAAGTTGCCGAAGGAGCGTATGACAACAGAGTGATTGGAAATTTGTCATGTCCCATTACTTTCCATTAGGGGTTTTTTGTAAATTGTTTGAATTGTGCATGTCACTATCGGAGATATCACTATAAGTTGAAAGTGGTAAACAGGTATATACAAATATTTACAAAATAATTCACCTATTGGACAGCTATGGAACATTCCATTTCATCATTTGACAGTCCTGTTATTTATGAACATGCATAGTTCCAAGAAGTTACCTTAAAGATAGTTGTGGCTCAACAAATGTGGTTGCTGATTGGTTGGATTGCTTCTGAATGAGAAAAATTAGATATTTTTGGTTTTTTGGGTAGGAGGAAAAAGCTAATATTTCATGATTTTAGACAACTGTGAAAAGTGACACAGCGCAAGTGCCAAAATATGAAACACATTCAATGAAAGCATGCGTGTTGAGCTGGGAGGTGATAAATTTTGTACAATTCAACCAGTATGATGTGGGTCTTTATCACAATGCATATAGAGTTGTCATTTCTGTTTTAAGTTTGGAAAGTTGATCATTATGTATGTAATAAAGATACAATTAGAGCATTTTTTAATAAGACCAGTTTTTAAAAAATATCTTTGTAACCGATTTAAAGATTCTTCTCTTTGCAAGGAGTAACAACTATGAACAGACAAAATAACTTACTGAAATACATTTTTTATTGCCAGTTTTATAATGTAATTTTTCCATCATGATCATTCATATGAACATGTGATAATAAGTAGTGACACTATGAAATATTCATACAGTAAATTCTGAAAACATTTGCTTCTTAACAAATGATGATCCTTAATAAATACAAGAAATAACAGAATGAAATAAGGTGTTTGCATTATTAGCCTTATTAGTCTTTTTTTAATAACTAAACTCCAAAAGTGGGAAATTTCCTGTAATCACAAGTATCATCTCAGCTTTATCTGGTTTTAGTCGATTATGTTTGTCATCATATAGATCGCCAGCTTTGCTAAATAGCCGCTCACTTGAAACAGTTGAAGGTATTTCACTGCTAATTTTGTAAGAAATACATTTTACAAGGTCAGTTCCCTTTTTTTTTTTTTTTTGTCATGGCACATTAATTCATAACTTTCAACTATTTCAATTGTAATGAAGCTTCAAGGTACATTCTCTGTAGTCATTACAATTTTTAGGTTAAACTGTCAACAATATATATATTGAATACCATTAAATAGAGCAAATTATAAGGTGAATAAAGTATAAGAAGTGACTTATGGTTTCATGAGAAAGTGATTAGATGTATCTTTTATAGGTAAAAACAGTTGAATTTAGTGTGAAGTATAGAAAACTTAGGATCAAACAACATATTTGTGAAGTTTTTTGTTTTTTTGTTTTAGATGTTCCTTTCATCCCTTAAAGTGTTTGTATGGTAAATTCTATTTTTTGAAAGTTACAGTAATTTTCTTATGATATTAGGTAAGCCTGATTAGGTATTAGATGGTATGGTAGTGAGGGTAAAATATTGTGGTGATTCAAATTCTTATTGAATATTGTTAATTTTATCATTTCTCATTTAATGCACATAAACTAAAGTACTTATAATTTGCTGAAAACCAAGTATGTTTATTAAATATAAATTGATTTTGACCAAGAATGTTGTTGGCAAAAATATTGTTACCTATCCTAACCTGACTCCATTATGAAAGATCTAGTCTTGGGTCATTGATAAATCTTTGATAGCTTATGCAGTGTTTTGTATGATTTATAGCCAGAAGTTATGAATACTGCAATTGGCAAAATGAAATTCTTGAATATTTATATTAATGAAAAGTAATAAAGTTGAGATTGGTTAGATATATGAAATGAAACTTTTTGTACAACAATAAAAATAATTTAAATTCTGAGGCAAAAGAAGCGTTTTTTTTAAGAAAATATCTTCGAACAAAATTGGAAATTTAGCAACACAAAAAAATTGTAGGAAAACTAAATCAAATTACAGGAATTTATTAAAGCCAAAACTAGATACTGTGAAGTAAGTTTGTAATAAGTTTTATGCAGTTTAGCTAAAGTATTTCCAATGTTAGAAGGAAAAAATGGGGGTCAACTCCCACTCAAGTCCAGAATTCTTATAGAAACATTAATCTTAATATAACAAGTTTATAAGAGATGTGTGTGTTGTATATATATAAATTTATTTTCAGAAATCCATGCTATTTTTTCTTGGTTTATTTGTTTTGAAGCTTTTACCTATAGTGGAATTAATGTGAATCTTTCTTCTAAGGTCCATGCCATTCCTCTCCGCTCCAGCTGGGTCATGACTTGTGCATATGCTCCATCAGGCAGTTTTGTTGCCTGTGGAGGTTTAGACAACATCTGCTCTATCTACAGCTTAAAGACACGAGAAGGAAATGTAAGAGTTAGTAGGGAGCTACCTGGACACACGGGTTATTTGTCTTGTTGTCGCTTCATTGATGATAACCAGATAGTCACGAGCTCTGGTGATATGACTTGGTAGGTTTTAAGTGCCAAAAGAGTTATTATAGTTTCTAAGGGAAACATTAAGAATTTGAGTAATGACTATTTCTGATGAAATATAAATAATCAAAAACGTGTACATTCCTTGAATCAAGAATGGTTAATAATATTAAAAAATGACAACATAGAATATAGTTGTTAAAGCAGGAAATATTTCACACCCACAAAGCAGTGACAGATTAATGATTCTTTTCTTTTTTATCCCAGAACTCTTAATCGATTTAACTCTCTCTCTATGGGCTTGGTCAATTTCACTGAGTTCATGACCCCAAATTGACCTTTAGGGTTTCCATACTATAATTTTTAATGTGTTTTATGTATCTTCATGAAATTTTGCAAGCTTTCAGTAAACATTACAAGAAATTTTTAATGAAATATTTTACTAAAAATTTCTCCGTGAACATATGGAGTGCAAAGTGATTTTCATGTTAAGATTAAAATTACCTTTCTTTTCCCTGAAAACCTCCTGAATAAATCACAAACTTTTTTTTTAAGTAAAACAATATTTTTTCAGTTAGTTTATCTATCCTAATTCTGTATGCCTTCTGTCAATTTGACTGACCTCGTAACCACCATAAAAAATACGAAATAAATATGAATAACCATTTTTTCTTTCTAGAATGACTTCAAATTGTAACAGAAAACTACATTGGTTTATCTTAAATAGCTTAAACCTAGTAAGAGTGTACCTCTGTTTCTACTTAAATTTTATTGTTTTATTACCCTTTAAACCATGTCTAACTAATAATCCTGCCACTAATTTTTGCTTTTCACACCACGTTGATAGCTTTATGTTAATTGTCATATTGGCTAATCTATTATGGGAAATTTTTTAAAGGGTGCAGTGCTTTTGTAATTTTGATCTGTAACATTTCTCACATATCTTTTTCTACAGACTACATGGTTGCAGTTAGTCAAGATTCACTGGTATTTCTCTTTTGTTCTTATAAGTAATTGTCTCATATAGAGAATTTTGTATTCAACAATTTGCCCAAATTTTGTATTGCCATATCCAAGTTACAACATACAATTCACAAGAGGAAGAAATGGAGCTGTATAATAAGTAGTTTGCAAGAAAGAAAATAACATAACTTTCAGATTATTGATGTCTGATTTCGTTCACTCTGAAACAAATGCAGTTAGGTTCATTTTACAATTTTTGGCATAATCAACTCAGAAGTACACTGTTTTATAACTATTCTAACTAGAAATAAGCAACAAACATGTACAAAAGACCACAGATATGCAGCTGTGTTTTATATCTGAACAAGTTTTGTCTACAAATAAGTGTTTTGATAATACTTCTATTCACAAATAAATTACAGCAAAAACTCAATATTAGGATTAGCAGTTCATATATTTTTATAACTTTATCCAAGAAAAATGCTAATAAAAGTTATCTCAAAACAAAATTACAAATCTCAATATTTCATGTATAGTTTTATTTTGTAGGTGGTTTGAAGAAGGAGGTGAGACAGAATTTTTGAAAACTTAATTTGTCATATACCCACATAAAAAATGAGAGATAACCATCCTTGATAAAGTTAAGGTACTAGGTATAACTAAAAATGTAGCAAGTTTTAATAAATAGATTAAGCTTATGCATAGAAGAATTGTAATAAGGGATTGAAAAAAAGTACATATTTGTTTTCTTTTGTTTCCCAATTAACTTTATGCTTATTGCTCCATGTTTAGTAAACTTTACATGATATATATACTATGTCCCTCTCACTTCATTTAGTGATATACAGAGGTAAGCAGTGAATAAGTTAGCATTTTAGGCTAGCCATGGATAAAGATAGGCCAGGCTTTCTAGTAAAAACTATAAAACCTGTTAAAGCCTATATCTTGAAAGTTGGCCTAATGTTTTTTTAAAATGATCATAAAAAACATATTCTTTATCAATTAACTTGAACTATACACCTGGAAAAAAGTTAAGCACCCCCAAATATTTTTCAGGATTGCTTATTGAAAATAAGGTTTAATTTTCATGATGTTGAGCAATGTTCATAATTTCAAACATAATTAAAAGGATGTGAGCGTTCAGGTGTGACATTTAAATCAGGCGCGTTTGTTTCTCCACATGCAACTTGCTCCCTTCTTCACGTCCAATATGCACTATTTTCTCGTGCATCAAATCCGTATTTAAGTCCCGAATTTCTGAATGCAAAATCATTTTAAGTAAGAATGGCAAGAAGACAGATATCAGAGGCGCAGAGATGGCAAATTATTAGCATGAATTCCGCTGGTATGTCCTACAAGGCGACAGGTAGACAGCTTGGCTATCATTACACAGTGATCAGCCGTTTGGTCAGAAAACATGTTGTCACCCAGAATGTTAAGGACCGTCCTCTATCTGGTTGACCATCTGTAAAAACCCAACGTGAAGACTAGGAGCCTTGATATATTGGTCAGACGAAATCCGTTTGCAACAAGCACCCGT